GTTCTAGATGCTCAGTTATTCTTTGTTTCAGTTCCTCTTGTTTTTTAGTTAGAGGGCTTTGTTCTTCCTGAGGAGAAGGCAGAGGAGACGGTGCCTGGGTTGGGAAAGAGAACGATTCAATAGCTATGCTGGCTTCCTCTACTGCTGACTCCCCCTGGTTTGCCTCTACTATCTGAGCTACTTCTGGCAAGGTTTTGATTTCTTTGCCCTGGGTAGATCTTTGCAGTTCTTCCAATTCTACTTCTGTGAATACTTTATTTTGTATTATAAATCGACATTGATTTGCTAGCCTCTGTTCTGTTATTTCTGATTCTGGATGTTGTTCTTTCCAGAACTGATGCATTCTTTTCAGATATCCTCTTCTCGTTGGATTTGATTCGTAATAGCAGATCATTATTTCTTTGTTTTCAGTCTTTGTATATTTGCGATGGGTAAACAACTTTTCTTCCAGTAGTTCTGCAGCTCCTGGTCCTGGTTGCTCAGCCAACAGTCCTGAGTCTGTAGTTGTTATTATTATTGTTGTTATTATTATTATGCCAAGTGGCCTCAGGATATACACATATTACCACCACAAGATCTGTGATACCATAATTTATATACTATAGCATACCTTGCTACTTTCATTTATTGATGATATCCCTGACATTGATATAAATTCTCAATGCAGTGAAGATGTAGATCTGTCTATAGTGCTGCAGTAAATAGAGAAAATGATCCAAATCCAAGTAATGGATATATTTTTTATAACATAATACATAAATAAATGAATATTCTTGCTCTGAGACAGCTACTCATATATGGTTTAATGATATTCTTTTAAACAATAGTAACAATAGCAAAATAATAGTAACAATAACAACGTACAGTATCCTGTACATTCAGAATATATATGAAGTTATATATTCAGTTGTTGTTGTTTTTTAAAGTCTTCATTTCCAGACTTGTCAGCCATCATCAGACTGAAAGCCGGACTGGAATAACCAAGCCATCCATTTCATGATTCCGGGTTTGTGACTTTCAAAGCCTGCCTCTGTATTTCAGATTCTGGCTGAGCCAGTAAAGAGCTCTTTGGAATTTTCACACCCTCATGAGAAATCTCAGAATACAGTTGTGTTAAGGTAGTGTTTTTCAACCTTGGCAACTTTATGATGTGTGGACTTCAGTATGCTGGCTGGGGAATTTTGGGAGTTGAAGTCCACATATCTTAAAGTTCTGTGAAGTGGGTTGGAAATAAACAAGTAATGGGGAAACTCTAGTTATCACCCCATAATTTTGTCATGGTAACAGAAATGGACTGTATTCACCAAGAATTAGAATTGTTCTGCAAACTTCAGTGTAAGCCAGAATTCATTAAATTAGTTGCTTATCTTTTCTTCCTAAGAACAGTAATCCAAGTGATTATCTGGGAACATTTATCTTATAATGTTAGGGAGACAAAACTGACTTAAAGCAGTAATTCAACAACAATAGATTTTGAAAAGAAAAAATAATAAAAAGATAATGTGAGCACATGTGCGATGGCCTTTGTTGATGCTTTAGCAATGTAAAGGAGGCATAATCTCTGAATAAATTGTCATTAACAAATATCTGTGAAGACTAACAGTGAGAAAATGGCAGCAGGTCTGCAAGCAAGCAATTCACTTTAGCAATCAGACCCAGGCACTCTGAAATAACAAAATACTGGCCGACTGGAAAATTGGCATTTACATAATGTGAGCGATTGGGGTGTGATCAGATTTCCCCGTAGCAGCAGCAGTGCTGGTCTTGAGCATAATACTTGTAGTTCTTTTCTGGGCTTTTTATTTTTTCATATGTTACGCATTGGATGTGTAGAAATGCAAAGGCAAACCAGCAGATACCACGTGGAAGGTAGTGTTTCTCTCCATTCAGCAACCAAATATTTAGCATCATTTATTTTGGAGATGATAGGACATCCTTAATGAGAAATGACTGTGCACTGTAAAGGTCAAGGAGAAGTGGGAGCTCAGATTTTTATGTATGGATGTATTAAAAAAAATACATGTGTCTATGTGTTATCAAGTTGCTGTCAGAATATATAGCAGTAGCAATGGATAAGCTTGAGTTGGCATCAGACCATTTTTTGTCTCAGTGATTGTGACTGCTCTGCAGACCTATATTGAGTTGTAACATAAACTATGATAATCAGCATATTATTTTTTTTAATTTTTAAAAATCATGTGATATCCAGAGATAATTACCTTCTTTTCATTCACACTAACGTGACTATTTTTGTTATGTCCCAGGCATTCCCACTGAATAAAGTTCTGAAAGGCTTTTTGAAAATCTCTATATAATGACATGTGTTATTTTAGTTATATATTTTATAATATTTCTAATTTCCCTTTTCTTTTCAGATAATGCAGACATACTTTTTAGACATGAGTGCATATTCTCTCCTGTCATATCTGATTATATATTTTTGAACATTTGCACTTTCTCACTCCTTGTACTCCCCCACTAGCATACCATTGGCTATTAGGAATAAGCACAGAAATCAGTCCTGACCTGTTTAGGTTACTGGAAGGGAAAAATATTTGCCATTGATCTTCTTAATGCTGGGCTCTTGGTCAACCAAAATAATAGGACTAGGTAATAACATCCCATATTTGATATGGCATGACAGGAGATTGCTCATGTATAGGTAAATGCTGTAAGTGTGTCCTGTGGGGTTTTTGAAGAACCAGAGATTAACAGATGTTTGCATGAAGTTTTAAATGGCCAGTGTTGTCTGCCTTGGAAAAAGAGGAGCTGTCTCAAAAAATCTGATAGTTTATTCCAGAGAAAACAGAGGCTTTCAAATATATTTGTTTGGATTACAGAGTAGCACACCTAGCACACATATAATTAGCTTAGACTACAGAGTTGCTTTTTGAGTAAGGATATTTATCTAAATAAATGATGCATGCTCCTTCTATAATGGAAAAACTAGAAAGAAACTTGATAATTTGAAAATCATGTAACCATATGGTTATTTTCCTTTGTAGTATAAAATCAAAGGTTCCGTGCTCTTAGAAGTATTAAATTATTTCAGTGTGTTTAATATTTAACATCCTTCTAATTTGGGATTTTGATTATTTAAATCTTTAAAGAAATAGGAACTTTCAAACTGGTTTCAAAAATGTTGTGTCATCATACAAAGTTCACAATATAGATGGACTTTCTTTTTCATTTGTTTCTGGCTCAGGAAATCTATGGAACTCTTTGGGTTAAAAATCTAATTTCCCAAAGGATTAAATCAGTTTAAATTATAACTCTGCATGTTGGTTATTAGTTTAAGCAATCCCTGTAAAATTATTATTATTATTACATCATGACTCTAACTGTGTTATTTTCTCATAGGTATTTACCTTATTATGGATTGCTGACTGGATGGTACACCACATCTGGAAAAAAGGGAAAGATCCAGACAGTTTTTCTATTCCTTATCTGACTGCACTTGGGGATCTTCTTGGAACTGCCTTACTTGCAATGAGTTTTCATTTTTTGTGGTTGATTGGTGATAGGGATGGAGATGTAGGAGATTAATAATTCTGATACCTAATTTATCCCATTAATTGCAGATATGAAACTAGGGACAACCACTTGACTTGTCATTTCATATAAAAGATATTAAAAGAGTTGTTGAATTTCATTACAATAACTTCAGTGTTGACACTGATATTAAACAGCCTTAACTTTTTTAAAACAATAAAAAACTAAAACAAGAGGCTTCAACTATTTTTACACTGCAAAGGTGTGTGTAAACAACCATCTCATCACAGGAAGAAAGGTTGGCCATTGTTGCATCAGGAAATGAAATATAGTTGACAGGTAATAGAACAATGTGGTTTAACCACTGATGTATCTGTTTTTAACACAAAATCAGTTTGCATTTCATTAGACAGTCTGGCTATGCATTTGAAGTCATACAATAGAATGGGTTCACAACATAAAATAGAGATACACATAATCCAAAAGAGATTATTTTTGCATATAAATAAGAAAAACAGGTTCAAGTAAAACATTCCACATGGCATTCACTTTATTTTAACTGCTGGCAAAAAAGAATGGAACAGCCTCTGTTCTAAAAATTAATCAGTTGAAAATAGGAAAGATGTTTCTCATAGAGATAATACAGTATCATTGTGCATGGACAGTAATTATGTTGTATTAATGGTTGTAACTCAAAAGATACATTGACACCATTTTCAAGGGTTCTGTTTTTGTCCTTTATTATGATGTATAAAGAATCAAGGCTGTTTAAAGAAGAAGAAAAGCAGCTTTTGATATGTAATAGGGAAATTACAATATAACTCCTCAAATAACAGGTGGATACTTTTATTTTTTATTTTTAGAAATACGATTGACTTAGTTAATCATGGAGATATTCTACCAAGACACCCAGAGTTGCTTTGGAGTCAGACACTGCCAAAATCTCAGTCAAGCAATCAGGCCTACTTCCCAATTATATATAGCCAACATTATTTCCTGATAGGTTGCAATTCAAACTTTTAAATTAATATTTAGAATACCATCTCATTGTGTAATGAGAGGTTAATTGTTACACTGAATACTATTTTTAATCATAGCATTGTTGTACTAAGGAAATTGCTTGTTTCTGGGAAAACATTCCCCATGTCCAGTATATTAATGCTTGTTGAATGACTGCTTTGTAGAGTATCTTTATGAAATGTCACAGGTACTCTAGCTAGTTTCTGTGGTACATTGATGATGAAGAGGCGTCTCCCACCATGCACCATTTCATGTACTCATGTGTTATTTACACAAAAGAAATCAGTAAATATTTAAAGCTGTTTTTGCTGTTCATTAATTTTTTGCTTTAGATTTTGGGGAAAAGAACAAGATTGCAGAAGCTTTAGGATATAGATTATTATGAGTTGTATACTTCATTAAGTGTCCTGTCCTTAAACATTAATATCTGTTCAATCCCTGGCAACACAGTTTATCCCTCACTGCAATGGAAGCCACCAGTGAGGATGTAACAATTATAATTTATAATTGCTTAACTTCCATTAAAATCAAATTTGGCACATAATTGGTTGCATTCAAATTACATTGCTATCCAGGCTACAGACGATGTATTTCAAATGCAGATACACAAAACTATAAAAGTAAATAAATGCATGGGACCCAAATTTTCAGATGTGGACTTCTATTAATATAAACACTCTTGGCCCTAGTATAATTTTTTGATGATTATCTTCATCTTAATAGTTCAAAGTACCAGCAACTATTTAGCTTCCTAACTGAAATTGTGTAAGTAATTTTTCCATACATTAAATTAATGATACACATTTTTCATAATGATGACTGTCTTGTTTATTTCTGTGTTGGAAAGAAAATAAGCTTTCAGAACTGGGAAAGAAAATCAGACTGTCCTCCTAGATTGTTTTAGTTGCTTTTAGGTTGTAATCCATTAGACACTTTTCAGGAAGTAGGTGAACTCTGTGAGGTCTACTTCTCAGTACATATGTGTAGACATGCACTGTTAGTTTTTATTATCATTAAACAAAATGATATACAAAAGCAGTTGATGATAACCCACAAGAGACTTGGATCTAGCAATTAAGGATTTAAATCTGGTTCAGCTATCTTATAAGGAGTCATGATCTGATGGAAAACATTGCAGTATTTGAAGAATATAGTTGAGTTGTTTCCTTGGAACCAAACAAAATAAAATGCCTTCTGTTTTCAATATAATACCCTGAATATAATGTATGTGTGCTATTTTCACTTGCTTTCCCCAGTTTTCACATGCCCATCCTAAGATTTATTTAGAATTTTCCAGACCAAACTAACACCAGACTATGTTCCAATTACACTGAATTATAGGAAAAAATAAGCAATAATCAGGACAGAATAAAATATTTATGTGTGCAGTATGTGTGAGGTCGTTAACATTTTTAGACACATAAACACATGCTTACACAAGCACATATATAAAACAATGTCTTGAGTTGCTTTATCAAACAAATAAATTAACTATTTTAAATTGCCTTTTATTTTAAAACATGTAGCTTTCTGCTGCCCTGCAGATTTCACCCAATGCCGTTTTATACAGAGGGTTTGAAGCAAATGCTAAGAATCAGTGTCTTCTATCCATATCTTCTATGCGTATAACCCATCTACCATGACTCATTTGGTTAGAATGACATACATAGATTCAATTCTGTTCCCAGTTATGGTTACATAAATTTGAAGAAAGCACTTATGGGTACAAATGGTTGTATGGAGTTGCTAAAAGATTGGAGAATAGTGGAACAGAATCTTTTGTTTTAAGCTATTGTTATCTGAAAGGATTTAATTGACACTGAATGTTAGATATATCCTGATGGAATAGTAGGAATTGTTTATACACCTTTCTTCTGATATAAAAGCAGGTGAAGATATTACATCTTGCCTGAAACTCCAGGCTGGTGTTCAACTTCTTCAGTCCCCCCCCCCCCAAAAAACCTCTAACTTTGGGAAACCTCTAACTCTTTCAGCAATTTGGTTCAGGATATGCTGGCCATCCAGTTGTGATGGATTCAACCTAGATACTTATGAATCCACTTTAAGTTTATTTTACACTTAACATAGAAACTGATTTTAGAAACTGATAAGTAAAGCACTGACAGAAGTGCTTTGCTTGCTTCTCAGTGCTTCTTCAAACCCATTGTGTGGATTATCAATGTATCTATCTTTCTCAGAGGCCTGACACAGCTAGTTGAAGACTTTTTTCCTGATCATCTGAGCTTTTCTTTGCTCACATTATCAGTAGATGTATCTTCTGGGCACGTTCTGAAGAAGGTGAAATGGCTTGTAGGAAGCTACACCAAGCATTGGTGAGTCATGGCTGCCATGAAGCACAGGGCTCAAGAGGGCTTCAGAAATGCCCCCTCTGTATGCTTCATAAACCCTAGAAATGGCTTCTAGTATAATTAAGTATTTAAGGCTGGTCATGTTTTGATCATGGTGGTAACCCCCAGAATGTTTGCCTTTGAAATCTAAGGGAACACATTCCTACACGGTTTGCTATATTCCAGGAAGATGGTGAAATATTCGGAAGTCTTAAACATGGAACTGAAGCAAGACAATAGACAGACTTGGTGGTTTGATATTAAAGCTGTACTTTGTATATTTACATATCTTAATAAATATTTAAAATCTTTTCAAGTAAGAGATAATTACATTAATCTTTCATAGACAGCTCCACAATTATAACATGCATCATTACAATTAATATAAACCTTTGGGAAATGTTAGATCTCCTGAAATAGGGTTGTGACAAGAATAGTTTTATGGCTGCCTTAGAGGAACTGAAACATTGCTTCAAAATCACATTCCAACACCATCTATTAATTTCTTGCAAATCCTGGTGAGAAAAGGTATTTGGATTGCTGGAGAAATCAAGGAAATAGTCCTGTCAGTCCAAAGTGTGGTCCTAGCCAATAGTATTGGATAGAACATTGCAACTTTGGATTTGTCTGAAGGACAAAGTGCTTGATTATTTGAGCACATATCTCTAAAATTAGGTGCTATGTTAATTGGAGCACATATGTGGACCAGGTTTTTTTGCTCCTCAAATATTAACAACTGTATTGAGTTCCTTCCCAATATGCCTATGTCATGAACCCTAAAATCCAACTTCTTCTGAAACATTTTACAATCCAAGTATAAAATATTGAAGAATGTTATGGAAAATAATTTGATTACCTGCTTTTTTCTACAGCTACACCACTGTTTCCCAATGAACTCCCTATGACATGCAAGGGTCATAAAATATTAGTAATCATTGTCTACCCAAATCCCCTTATTTGACCTATTTGGACAGACATGATCAGCAGCTACTCACTTGCTGGTCACTTGCTTGCCATAGGGGAGCAAGACCATGGAGAAGAAATGAAGAAAGTCAGTATGGAACTGGGATGCATAAATCTCAGAGGCTGATGAATGCCCATCAGAAAGTTTGAGGAACTTTCTATTAGACACTGGGCGACTAATGCTTAATAAAATGACAGAGCAGCTCTTTATGAGAGGGCTTCAATGGATACATCTATTGATTAGAATTGTATTGAGCATATCTGACCTGCTGATGGTGAAAATTCTAAATGGTCCATCCATTTAAGTCTCGTACATGACTAGACTTTCAACAATGGAAGCAGAAAATCCACCAGTTGGAAAGAGGTTGATAAACAGAAACTCTGCAGATCAGCTTATGTAAGACTAGAAGAAAAATGACAAAGGACCATTAAATTCTGATCATGACATTGGATATTAGAATATGTAGTCTGAGAATTTTAAAGAGGAGACTGGATTGCTATCTTTTGGGTCATTTCTTTTGAATATACTATTGCATTCTTATAAGTAAAGAGCATATACACATTTTGTTTTTACTGTATCAAATAGCAATGGTATGACTGTGTTCAATTTTGCAGACTGCATAGTTTCTTACAGTATATGGGAATATGAAGCTACCTGTTTAAGAAGGAAAAAAGGTGGTAGTAAAATAAGTCCACATCTAAAAAATCAGATAGTAAAAGGATGATTGAGTTGGATGGTGCTTGATTTCCTATTTAATTTTATGATTCCACCATCAGCCCTCAGTAAAAAGGGAATTTATTGCTACCGGGTATACAACATTTCTATTTCAATAATATTCTCCTATTTTAAAAGTATTTTAATTCTTCATATCTGAATTACATTTGATTTCCATCTAAAAAACTGCTAGACTTTCATTTCCTGGGGGGGGGGGAATCTGATCAGCCTTGTTGTCATTTTTTTTTTTATGTTGCAAAATAAAACTTTTTCTTTAGAATCACCTGTGATATCAATTGTACACACAGGCTTATTGCATTCACTGTAATAACATTTATATATCAGAGTAATAATGCACATTTAATTCAAAATGGCCATGCTGTTATGCAGCTCCATTTGACTGAAGACAAATGTAGCAATAACTCAGGCATGGCGGGAACATTTATAAATTGCCATTTCACTCATGAAGATAAATATGATCAGAGAGCTGCTATCATCCCGCTTTTCAGAAGGTCTCACTTCTCATCTTTCGACTCTAATAAGAAATATGGATGGGGAAAATGCGTGGTTCAGTAAGGCAATTTAAATATCAGCCTAAAACTCTGTTATGTGGCTGTCCCCATAGTCCAATATATATATCAGAGGCCTCTGGTACTTTTAATAGGAGTAAATTTATTTTTTAATGCTGGTTCATTGTTTGAGCTCATAGCAATAAAGGGCATACACACGTAACATATATAAGTAAATCTACTTGTATTAACAGGACAGTGGCTGCATTTAAATATAATAAATCATGGTTTACTGTAATATGAATAAGCCAAGGCATTTTGCAGTCTCTTCTCCACTGCAGGCACTGAGAAATTAAGAGATTCAGGGAATTGTAGTTGTTATTTTTATTCAAACCAACAAGCAGCGGCTTCTGTGGAACAAGCCTTATTCAAAGTATTTTGAAGGGCAACCACACGTATGTGGAATATGGCTGTGATAGAATGCCTAACGGACCGTGGGAACACAGAGGAGATATGGAAGGGAGGAAACAGGCCATTACAAAAGAGATTCCTGGATCCAGGGAAGGAGGAAATGTGAAAAGAGACTCATATTAACTCTACCTTAACTACATTAGATACAAGTTGCATAGGCAGATTACTTTGGTAGGCTTTCAAGATTGTGTTAGCTACCCTACTAGCAATCAAGATCTTTCCACAAATCCAAGTGGTTCTTGTTTCCTGAGCATGCCTGCCCTGAAGGGCTTGACATTGGCCTAACACACAGTTAGGCAATAATCTGTGCTGCTGTTTCAGACCTTCGGTGACTTCATACAGCCTGAGAACATGCTCAATTCCTCGAGTAAGGGTTAATGAGACTATGACTGCTGTAAGGGCTGTAAGGGCTTTAAGACAGTTCAGCACTTCACTGCAGAGGAGAGGGAATGCAAAAAGATAGGTTGGAGTCTTTCCTCATCCTTAGAAACATCTGTGATGAAAGCAGGTAACTTGTGTGCAGGTTTTATTGAAAAGGGGAAAGCCTGCCTCAGCCCATTTCTGAATCAGTTCAGTGGCATAATATGAGCAGCAGACCAGCTTTTTCACTCTCTCAGTATTTCCCTAGAATAGTAGTCTACTTAGTCATATCAAATTCACTAAGAGATACAGGAAACCTGTTAGCTTGGAATGGACAACTACAGTATATAGAGTCTTTGTCAAGTGAATGCCCTCCAAATGTATTGGACTACATAGTTTACTAACAGATTGATGACTGTAGTGTCTGAGGATGATGGTTTTAGGCAGTTGCATAAAATAATAAATCAATGACCTGCAATCCTTAATATCGTGACAAAAGAGTTTTCCCAAGGGGATGGAAATGGTCCTGTGTGGCCAGCTATGAGATATCTGACCTGGATGCTGGAATTGTCATAATCCTTCCATTTGGATGATCTCTACGCAGTAGAGGAGCTCACCAGTCAGAGAGTCTCTCTTGTACAGAAAGGGACCCTGCAATTCCACAATGCTCAGATGTCAGGCTTTAGACTCTACCAGGATATAAGTGAGAGCCAGTTTGGTCTAGTGGTTAAGGCATCAGGCTGGAAACCTATTTTGGAAACCCAAGCTCTATTCCCACCTTAGGCACGAAGCCAGCTGGGTGACCTTGAGCCATGACTCTCTCTCAGCCCTGGGAAGGAGACA